ACGCATTTATTATTTTATTACATTTCAATAAATTATTTCATGTCAATCTCATTTCATTCTATTATTTTTTATTTTAAAATGTCCATTTTTATTTTTTATCATTTCTTTTATTTTATTTTTTATTTTATGTCCTTTTTATCTTATAACAAGGTGTGCCATGGGCAGGGGGCTTGTGGGACAGGGCCAGTGGAATTCTGTGAGACTGACCGAGATTGGGTGAGATTCACAAATATTTTTTATTTTATGTCCTTTTCATCTTATAACAAGGTGTGCCATGGGCAGGGGGCTCGTGGGACAGGGCCAGTGGAATTCTGTGAGATTTACTGAGATTGGGTGAGATTCACAAATACATGGTGACATTTCATGGCATTCACCAAGATTTGGTGAGATTTGGTGACATTCAGGGACATTTATTGACATTTGTCAAGACTTGATGAGACTTGGTGAGATTCACCCATATTTGTTGAGATTCACCCATATTTGTTGAGATTCACCCATATTTGTTGAGATCTGGTGAGATTTCCTGAGATTTGGTGAGATTGGCTGAGATTTGGTGAGGTTCACTGATGATACTCGGTGAGATTTGGTGAGATTCACCAAGATTTGGTGAGATTTGGTGACACTCAGGGACATTTATTGAGATTTGTCAAGACTTGATGAGACTTGGTGAGGTTCACCCATATTTGTTGAGATCTGGTGAGATCTCCTGAGGTCTGGTGAGACTGAGTGAGGTTTGGTGAGGTTCCCCGATGATACTCGGTGAGATCTGGTGAGATTCACCAAGATTTGGTGAGATCTGGTGACACTCAGGGACATTTATTGAGATTTGTCAAGACTTGATGAGACTTGGTGAGATTCACCCATATCTGTTGAGATCTGGTGAGATTGGCTGAGGTTTGGTGAGACTGAGTGAGGTTTGGTGAGGTTCCCCGATGATACTCGGTGAGATCTGGTGAGATTCAATGATATTTGGTGAGATTTGGTGCCATTTGGTGAGATTTACTGAGATCTGGCAAAACTTGCCCAAGCCTAAGATGCGAGGAGACCTCTGCTGAGGGATGGGTGGGCACTGGACCCGGAGGGGATCCCGGTACCCCCGGGATCCTCCGTGCTCCAAACCTTTCCCCACAGCTCCCAGGCCACACTCCAAGGTCTCCGTGTCCGTCCGGCTCTCGCGGCGTCTCCGGTCCCCCCAAGCCCTGCCGAGGTGTCAGACCCGGCCCTCGGCACCGCAGGGACCAGGGGAACGTGCCAGACCTGTTCTGCCGACCCGTCCTGCCCTCTGCAAACCCCAAATTCCAGGTGGGGGACACGCCACCGCTTCCCGAGGTTCCCCCGGCGTGACGCTGCGTCATCCGTGGGATCCAGGAGGTCAGGGAGGGGCCGTGGGGCAGCTCAGCGGCACCAAAATTGGGGTCACCCACATTTGGGTTTGTTCTCGTTTTCCAAAGCTCCATTTTGTGGTTTAAATATTTTTGTTTCATTAAATATTTCGGTGTCTCATTAAATGTTTTACGTCTCATTCCCTGATCCGGGTTTGTAAGGGAAGGAGTTGTGACGCCTGGTGGGGACAGGGACAGCCACCCCAGTGCAGTCCCAGAGGGGTGTTCAGGGGGAAGATGTCACCAGGACCA